ATGATACCTCCTGTATGGCAATCAACTGCTGTTATGCAAACAATGAATGGTGTAGCAGATCTTTGCACTAAAAACGAGTAAATTATGTAATAATTAAAAATTAAAAGTAAATAGTCCTATTAAATCTATAAAGTATTCAATTTATTTGCGTAGTAGGTGTATGGCAGTGTTTCGAGAACGAAACGTAATTAATAAATGGTGAATAGCATTTTCGTAWCATAATGAGAAAGAATGTATACATATAGAGTTAAAAATCAAATAAGATACAGCTGGGCTTCGAATAAAATATAATATTTACTGCACACAATTTATTGATCACTATTTTAACTGCAGGCCACCAATCGAGTGCATTAAAATGCATATTGCTAACTCATGCAACCGTCACATATATGAACCCAGCGCTCTGCTGCATAGTATATAGACTACGAATTACTTTATTCCCCTTAATACAGAAGGAATAGTAAAGCATAGGTACAGTATGCAAGTAACACTGACTTGTTCTGTTAGGAACTTGTATTGCGATTTAATTAACAAGACTTTTGAACGTACAATTACTTAAATAAATGAATGACAAAGTGATTCAGGCTCGTTATTACCCAACAAAACAATTAAAAATCAATGATAAGATATAAACTAAACTCAAAACTGTAATTTGGAGCCGCAAAACGAAGAGTACACTTCTATCTGTGGTTTGAAAGTTTTAAAAATGTGGCCATGATTCCGTCTCTAAATTTTAATGTACATATGTATCTCACAAACCACCAAAACTATATTAACGAATCTTGCYTAGGATTTCTCAGCCATTGTGACAACGGTTATATTGATACAAACTGCGATAACTCACAAAAAATACGAGCTAAAGAGAGGTCGCATTGGATGATATACAACCGAGGTAAGATCAGGTCAATAGATAATTTTCCTTCCCCTGTTATATTTTATATAAATAAATAACTTCCCTTTGCTTTATATTGGTTTTATTATCCGGAAAGGGATGCGATTTTGTCGGGTAGTAATATTCATATTTGCATTTACCTTATATACGAATTTTAAGTTTCTGCTTGGTTTACATCATATATATATCATGTACCTTGAATCATTAAGACAACATATGAAACTGAAAATATCCTAGTTTAAGGCTGAGATTGTGTTAAATCGTTCATTAAACCACCCCAACAAGTTGATGCAAATAATTTAAACCTTTTCCTACCCCAAATATATCAAATATCTTGATTTTCGACTTTCCGAAATTAAGACGACAAGTTTTCTTAAAAACAGTTGTTGAACACCATATGATAATAGTTCCCCCAGATATTATAATAAGCCTCTAAGCCGCATATGTCTCCTATCTATAATGATTTCCGATCATCTGGTTGCCTTTTTCCTCATATCTTCTTCTTCTTAATTGACGTAGACACCGCTTACGCGATTATAGTCGAGTTAACAACAGCGCACCAGTCGTTTCCAACTGGTCTTTCCAACAGAGTGGAGGTCTTCCTCTGCTTCCCCCGGCGGTTACAGCGTCGAATACTTTCAGAGCTGGAGAGTTTTCGTCCATTCGGATAACATGACTTAGCCAGCGTAGCCGCTGTCATTTAATTCGCTGAACTATGTCAATGTCGTCATATATCTCATACAGCTCATCGTTCCATCGAATATGATATTCGCCGTGGCCAACGCGCAAAGGACCATAAATCTTTCGCTGAACTTTTATCTCGAAAACTAGCAACGTCGACTCATCAGTTGTCCTCGTCCAAGCCTCTACACCATATGGGAGGACGGGAATTATTAGTGACTTATAGAGTTTGGTTTTTGTTCGTCGAGAGAGGAAAAAAGAAAGGCCGAATTCCTAGGTGCGCGTTATCGAACATCTGACTCTACTAAACGTCATTAAACTAAAAATTATAAAAAGTCATAACATAATTCAAAAATATGATATAAAACTCCAATTGGGCACAATGGACCGCAATAGCAAGTGGACTAAAATTTTTGAAATATAAGCTTAGCCTAGCCCACKGACAGGTTTAATGCACATGGGTATATCTGAAACCATATACAATAAGAAAATTCGCTCAGAACAAATCCCCACATAATATATTATGACGAAAACTTTTCCAAATCAAACCGAAACTTTTTGACTTCTCCTTGGTACCAAATATTATATGAGGACCCTAGTGCTTTTAGCTGAATTTTTCCCGAAAATATCGATTGAATTGTGAAATATGCAAGTATAATTGAAATTCGGAAATTACGCTTTAACCCTTAGTTTGCTAAAGATGGTACYTTCAATATTGATTGAATCGGATCAATAATTCTCTTAGCTTTCGTATAGTTAATATAAAGATTTTCGAACTTCCGGGTGACAACTTCTCACAGATTGATCGATATTTTCCGTGAAAAGTCAGCTAGAGGCATTTTGGTGCGATCCTTTTTTAAAGTGATATCAGATTTGTGCAAATTTTTCTTCTTCAAATTTTTTATTAACTCTAAAACCACAGATGCTCATCTACTCTTTTATTATCTGAACCAAGTTCCTGTTCTTTGTATTAATTTTTGGCTTAGTTGTTGATTCCGCCCACTTGCAGTACCCACCGTTCTGGGATGCCARGGACACGTGTACCAAGTTTCACTAGGATATCTTGATATTTACTCAAGTTATAGCTTTAATGAACAGACGAAAAGAGAAACAGTCACCGGAATTAAACTCGTCCTTTCAATTTATTTGTATATATATATAATACTATTTTTATATATCGAATTATTCAGAGTGTTACAAATTATTATTGGGAGAAAAAAAGTTATACTTTATGCTTCGAGTATAAAAATAACATAAATTCTTTTATGTCTGATTATGATATGTCCAAAATTTGAATTCCGTAAATTTTGCATTCACAATATTTCTGGGATTATGTTGATAGGAATATTCAGTATTTTCTTATGTTTATTTTGTTTTAACATTTATCAAACCTACTTATATGTCAATACAACAGTGCTTTACGATCAAATGCAAACCCAAATTTTAATTTCAATCTGAAGTTTCATTGAGCAGAAATTAATTGCTAACCATAAATAATGAATATTTGTGTACAAATATTTCAGTTATAGTATTTTGTTAGAGTAAGCGCTGTGTAAAATGTAATTACATAAAAAATTCAATCGTTTATGCCTCAGCACGCGCCACTTCGACCACGAGCTTGAAGCTTTAATACAATTGCTGCAACAGTTTCTTTTTCTATCTCCTTCTATTACGCCACTCCAACTATTTAGTTACTTTTCTTACATATGTATATACATATGTTGGTAAATTATTTACATTTTTTCCGGAACCTTTGTTTTTCTATACTTTGCAAAGTACTTTCTCATGTTGTGGGACGGCAATAAATAATTCGCATTTATACTAACAAGATTACATTCATATGTATCTATATCTAATATATATGTGTGTAAATATGTGTGTGTATATCTCCAAYTTTATAAAGTTGGTTGAATAAAATATCAGAGGTCTCTGGCGATTTTCTCTTTTTTGTGTTTCCCCTCAACAACTCGCAATGGGAAAGTAAAATAATGATTTGTGAGCCAAAGGAGCAAAAATATGAAATAAATATACAAGTGTTGCAGTTCAAGTGTATACCATATTGTGTATGTGTTATTATACAAACTTATGATGGAACGATTTACAACGTTGTCACTGAGACTATTGATGCGAGTGAGATTGTAATCACATCTCCTTAGCGGTTGCTCCTTTTCATTATCTAATATGCTTATATGCTTTACTAATAAAATTAAGAATATTTATATATATTAATATATGTATATGTGTATGAACGAAATTAAATAAAATTTTTCTCAGAATGACTCAAAAAGTGTGAAGTGTGTTGTTACCTTATATATTAGCTAAATACAGAAGTGAAATGAGGATATCAATAGGCTTGTAAAGTTTTGTTAACTTAACCGTTATTTGTACTAGTTAAGATTAATACAAGTAATGAGAATGACGAAAGGAGTTGGTTACCTGCCTGCGACTCATTTAGTTCGCCCTTCGCTCTAGCCGGGCATGCGGTTGAGTAAAAATTGAGATATTGTAATATCACTTGGTACACGTATTCCTTGAAACCATGAGGATATTGGTATTGTAAATAGGCAAAATCGATTAATAAAATGCTTTAGTCGAAAAAAATAATATTCCAGAGTGGACTATTATATTGGTTAATTAATAGGATATTTGATCAAATCTATGTTTCTAAAACCAGTAGGATTTAATGCTAATAATTAATAGAAGCGGTTCAATACCTTCTCGTTTCATGTAACAACAGAGAATATAATAGTTTTGTAACATCTAACGGATGTATAGATATGGAATTATGTATATATAAATGATCTGGATGACGATATCAATTCTGAGTGACTATTTGTCTACCGTCCGTCAGTGCAAGCGATACCGTTGGTAAAAATTAAGATTATCTTCGTACATACATTTCTTTGCTTCCAATCGGGTTAGTATTACTGATGGACTTATCGGCWCACTATCCCGCCCACAAAGTGCCATTAAGTGAAAACATTTAAAATGCCATAACTAAATTAAAATAGAAAACTGCAACTTGGTATAGAGGACTACATGCTTGTCTTTAAGCTTATGTATTGGATTTGTTTTTCCTAATTAGTTCTTTATTAATTTATTCTTTTTTTAAATTTCGTTATACCAAAATGTGTAAGTACCCTCGCAACATTATTGGTTATAATTATTTTGATTAACAATTTGCGTCAAACTACCTACATACTTAACTCAAATCATTTTCTATAAAATTAGTTGGTAGTCATCAATACCGTGAATATGTTAAAAAATTAGTCTAATTTGAAATCAATTATATGTTTTCTATTAGGAAGCGAATGGTGAACGAATTCGATATTTATAAAATGTATTCTTTTGTATTGTGTTATGTATTTATATATAAATAATGTGCTAAATTAAAATTCTAATTTTCCGACTTATCCCCTCCTTTCAGAAATATTGGAACATTTTCTGATATGTAAAGCTCTTATATACACTAAACTAACAATGGAATGGATAATGGAAAAAGTTGTATTGGTGTTTTTTATTACGTAAGTCATATTGAATAAGATATACTCTACGAACGTGAAATCGTAGTAATGAGTAGGAAATGAACAGAATATAATTGCATCTACCATCATATATACTAAACTGATAGGGAATGATGAAATGAAATATTTCCTGCAAAAAGTTCGTGCTTGTATATGCAAGATTATAGCTTACTCAAAGATGGATTGATATAAACCAGTCCAAGATGAAGTGAAATACAATTAGGGTACCTCCATACATACGGGGTGGCTGTTGAATTTTGCTACATTAGGAAACTCAAATTTTTTTTTTTTTCAGTGTATGGAAYTCATTTTTCTTTTATTCATGTTAAAGCCCATTCAAATTTATTAAACATAGCTTAATTAGTTTTATCAATAATKKAATTTAAATGCCCCCCCTGCTCGTTGATGCATGTGCGGCATCTTACCAAAATGTTGTTCATTACTGCTTGGAGAGTTGAGACAGGAATAGCCGCAATTGTTTCTYGAATGGATTGCCTTAGTTCATTCAAATTTATTGGTTTTGCTTTGTAGACTTCCTGTTTGCAATAACCCACAAGAAAAAGTCAGGTGCAGTAAGGTCAGGCGACCTTGGTGGCCAACGGAAATGTGGAGTTTCTGGATATCAGCTTGTTGGGAAATTTTCGTCGCAATTCTGTCATAGCAGGTTGGGCTATGTGAGGAGCTGCACCATCTTGCTGAAACCACACAGAGTTGAAAGAAATTCTSATTCGGCGTAATTCTGGATAGAAAAACTCTCTCAACATGCTCAAGTAACGGTCTCCAGTAACCGTAACGGTGTGTTTTCTTCGAAGAAGTAGGGCCCGACAATACAGTGTGATGAAACTGCACACCACACTGTGACACGATGTGGATCCAATTCCGTCTCATGTGGGTTGGAAGCTCTCCATATTCGACAATTTTGTTTGTTTATGTTGCCGTTTAAATTGAAATGTCGCCAGACATGAAAAGACAGTTCAACATGTTTCCATCCTCTTCCACCATTTGAAACATCTTCTGGCAAAATTCCAATCGAATCGGCAAGTCTGCAGCGTTCAGTTTGTTGGCCATTTGAATTTTATATGGGAATAAGTCCAAATCTTTGTGTATAATTGACTATAATGACTGTCTGCTTACACCCATTTGAGCAGATAAGCTTCTTGTCGAAACACRTGGATTGTTTGGTATGGCAGCAGCTACAGCAGCGATTGTTTGCTCCGTTTGAACTGAAGGGTTTCGATGGTAAGGTCTTCTGTTGACTGTCCCATGCTCGGCAAAATTGTTTACAAGTCTCATTATGGTCCATCTGCTTGGAGGATTGCCGGCAAACGTTCGCCTATACTCTGTTTGAACCGAAACTACGGACTCCAGTGCGTGATAGCGGCGAACAATCCAAATTCTTGTTTCAGTGTCCCAGTTATCCATTCTATAAAATGAAAAAAAAAATTAACCAGATTCATTAAATAGGAAAAAAGTTATTTAATTTGTTTTTGGTAGCGGCTTTCATCAGCCACCCTGCATATAATATACACCATTTTATTCTTTAATGCTGTAATTAAYCTAATTTTTAATATAAGTTTAATTTATAATATTATCTTTCCAGTAGCTCAAATATGGACGAGAAAGATCGCAAAGTACTTTCAGAAATACGTAAGTATTTTATATTTGTTGATTTATTTATAATTATAAGATAACATCCAATATATTATTATTAATTCAGGTTTACTTTTGAAGTATGTAAGCTCTTTAAACTGCTTGGCTTTATATCATCATAGATATATGTAATACATTTTGTAACAGATGTCTGAAGTTTATTGATAAGTTTTCTTTGTGTGAAGTTTTATTGCGATATTTGCATTCACATTTGCTACAAAATGCCTCTGATGAAACTCAAATTGGTATCAAATCATCATCAAACCACCAGCATGCGAAGTTATTCGTGTGCCAAGTTTCAAAATTTATAATGTTTTGCTTAAGCAATAGCTTTCATAGAGAGACGGCTAAACTAACTAATTACTGACATGTTGGTTGTAGGTGTTATAGTAAATCGATTTGTGAACAAAACGGAATACTATATGTAGTTTCGCATTTGTATATTCCCTTTATATTCATCTGACATCTACGTACTCTTATATGTGATTTGAATATATAACAATTTTGTTTTCATACATCTAACCTGCTAAACATGAAACAACACGCACAGACATTTCACCTGTTCCATCCATTTCATTTCAAAGACTGATTGCACCAAAAATGTTTTGTGACGTAAGGGTAAGGGACATAGTTTATTGTGTTTTAAGAAAAACCGGAGAATAACATATGTTTGTATATACTTAGATGAAATACCTTTTGTTATTGTCCCATTCTAACAAGATGTTGTGAAGTTTAATTTAAAATAAAGTCTGCAGCATCGATTCGTTGTTGTAGGTTGAGATTCAATGTGCAATGATAGAATGGGGTTTAGTGTTGCCTTCTTCTCTGAACTTATTTGCAAATTATTTGAGGGTGGATTGTAACACAATTAACCAAGCTATGGATAATTTGATTGGTTAAGTTAGAAATGTGTTTGCTTGGCACGTGACGTGTGATATGGTTCATTAAGTTAGTCAAAGTATTGAAATTTCTATGTACTATATTTTATTCTTTATTTCTTAACCCAACTATACAGGTATGTTATATCCTTAATAATACCACAAATTGGCAGCAACTTCTTCCATAATTTTCAAAATTCAACAAAAATTACTCCAAATATTCTACAGCTAATAAATTTAAGTCGGACTTTATTTTGTTTTAGATTTGAAATCGTAATTTTTATATCCTGAACAGGGTAAGTTTGCCACGATGTATTTAACACCAATAAGGAAACGTCAGAAACCATTTATAGTATATTAGTAAATGATCAGCTTGATGAACTGAGTCAATTTCAACAACTTTTTCTACAAATGCTTCTGTGCTGCCGAAGTTAATGCCTTGTTTAATACAAATTTGCTTTTTGGATTGTAGCTATTGCTTCCAATTTTCTTTTCCTTGAAAAGGTTTCTGTACCACAATATTCAAAAAACTAGAAAGAAAAAGAACGAAAGTAAAGAATATAGTAATGAAATTATGACAAAGTCAAAGCGATATTGGATTACATTGATTTTGTTTTGTAAATTATGTTAGCCTTTATCCGAAGAGTTGAATAGACTTATATACTCTCCTAGACTTTATATATCTAACAGCATTATTAATGGTTGATATCTTAAATAATGATTATTGGAATGATGTTCCAGAATAAGAGTATCGTGCTCGTTATAAATTATGTGACAGTGTTGTGAATACAGTAAAATTCCCCATGAGTAATAAAATCAAATTCAATAAAGCATAAATTTTATGAACACATCATTTTCATTAATATTTTAAAACAAAACTAATTTCTATAACCAGACATGACCGGACACAAACTGACCTGCGCTGGCATAACGGAAACATATAGAATAATTGGCATTCACTCCTAGCTGACATTAGCTGGCGCAGCTTCTGACTCTAAGAATACATTTTAAACAGAGGTCTTTGCCACGCGCTCTTGTGTAGACAGCTCCCATAGCCGAACAACAACACGCGACGGTCGGTATCCGGTTATGGGGAATTTCATTGTATATGAAACATATTACCACGATATAGAGTTCAATTTTAAGGTCTTAATTTGTCATGCGGTCTTAACTGGGATACTTATAAAAATGATACATTTATTATACAAATTGGAAAATTGGTTTATTTACACAATTATGTAAGCATGCACATAAACGCAAGACAGCGCGTTCTTTGTCAAAAGCATTCGTGTTAAATTAAATTATTTACATATTTGAGAATACAAATGAAATAGCCAGCTGAGGCAATCTTATTAGAGATTCGGTAGCAATATGCCAATGAACAGAGAGAAAAGAAAAGAGTAATACACTTTTCACACTATAAATAGAACAAATGGATTCCACATTAACATTACATTTAATTTTTTTATTTAGAACATACACTCTGCCATGAATTTATGTAAGTTGAATAAGATAATAATAATAAGTTAAGAGAAATGATTAACAGTAAAGTAATTAGGAAATAATATTTGAAACTGCTCAATATTTAAATTAGGGCTAAAAATTTCTACCCTTTGTTCTAAACGTAGTTACTATCTGTGAATCTGTTCTCAAAAAGCAAAAATCTGGTATGTCTGTAAATTTGATTCCATTATTGATCAGCACAATAATACTTATTGAAGTATTGAAAGTGTGCAGTGTGTTGATATATTTTTTTACACCTTCCCCTTTTATTACGCTTAAGAATAATGTAAGACTATAAAAGTTTAGAATAATTATTATACATATTAACTAATATAACAGCTATTTAATTAAGTATGAATTTACTTATGTTCCACTGTTTAGTCAACGCTTAATCGAATTTCTATCAGCACCGTACTTGCGATATATTTACCATTAGTAGACAGGCTTGTACATATTTATACATATCCACAGTTCTTTGTTCTGTTTTTCTACTCAGTTGATGTCAGCCATCCATGCTCAAAAATTCTTYCATAATCTGCCTACTATTCCTTAGCTGCTCAATCTTTGCTCTTTCGTTCGCGCTCACATGACTAGTGTTGTATTTCCATCCCCAATGTCAAGAGAAAGACAGCGCTCATACAATCCGGCCATATGGAATTTTTGTTTGTTATTCTTCGGCGGCCATTGAAATCACTAATGCTATTTCGAGTTGCTCTCCACTTTCATTTTTTATACTCTCCTTTTGTTTTATATTTTCGGTTTTGTTTTTAGTATAGAATCGCTTTTATTGTTGCTATTATTGTGTCATCTTGCGCAGCAGTCATGTATACTAGTAGTCACTATGCTCGTGTGCAGCAACGCAGTGGGTAGTGAAAAAGCGGAAATAGTTATAGAAGAGTCAAAGAAGCTTTTCGTTTTGCTGCTGTATTTTTACTAAAGTTTTTGTAGTCCTTTATGCTTCTAGACGCATAGAGTTTATATGCGCAAAAGTTTGATTGAAGAGAGCTGCATGTTCAATAGTTTGAGATGGGGTTTATTCAAACTCTAGATGTTGTCCTTTCATAATAATATCACACACCATGACACTCACTTCATGAAAACCACCCGAAATTGCCGCAAGGTATCCAACAAAGTGTGCGAAAATGTAAATATTCTTGTCTAATGTACCATGTTGAAAGCGTAAACGAAAAAATGAAGAACTTAAGAACTGGGTAAACGAAAGGGTGTTATTATTTGTGAATTGAAAAAAAAAATTTGTTTTCAATAAATTTATGTGATGCATAAATGCTTCAAGTATTCTTTAAAAAGAAAATGGTTAAATATTGTTTTAATATTAAGAAATTTATTAATAAACGGATTTGCCATTTAAAAAAGTAATATAAAATTATATAATATTGAATATAAAGCCAGCTTACATAGTCAAAAATACAATATTATAAGTTATAAACATAGTCATAACTTCCTCGAATATTTGAATCAGGCGTTAGCAATTCGCTGAATGATTTCAAGTCTATCTTCTAAGCACAACGATGCACCGTTATAAGAAAAACACGCTCTCTCATTTTTATTAAGATAACTAACATATTGGTCGATATATGCGCCATAAAGTCTCCCGTAGATCACAAAAAAAAAAAATWAATTTATAGCACATAGATATATTATCATCAATAAAGGATTCTCTCTGAATTTCATTTATATTTCTCAAACAATGAACAACATTTTCGGTAAAAAAATAACTATGAACTCTGGGTCCACATATTCAGTACCTAGAGCCTTGAATATAAAGTGGCACATCTCAAAGGCACTACTCGTGCAAAGATTCTTGATTTGTATACTGGAAAGTGAAACTTTCAAATGGAGTTTAAAATTTTGTTATATGGGAAGTAGGCGTGACTGTATTCCGCTGTAATATAAGAATATCTGATTTCACATAAAAGGGTGCGGTGCCACGCTCATCGTTCTATTTCGACCTCGGTCCCTGTAAAGCTTCCTCATACCATCTTGCAGGTAAAGTTTTATGTGTTTGACGTATTTGGTTGTTGATTTATCGCGTTTTTAGTATTTTTTTCACATTCGGTAGGAGGTTCTTATATTATTTGATTTTGTATTTGAATTTCGTTACTCTAAATTTAGTGGTTAATATTGACTAATATAAAAGGTACAAAGTCACCTGGAAAGTTAGAAAGTGTAATACTGGTTATATTGGTAGAAACATTCTGTACTGCTTGCATTTACTTTCCCCGGTTTTAATCTTTCTAAGTTTCAGGAGTATAACATATTCGGTTACCCTCAATCTTAGCCCTTTTGAATCCACAATAGTGCCTTTGACCAAATATTCAGAAAGAAATTAAATACTACATAAATAATGCCCTAGTACAAACTTTAACATAACATATGGAAACATGTTAAGTGTCTGAATGGACTATAAAACCTCTTACAATATTAAGACATTATTACAGCACAACTTAAAATTTTCAAAGATATATTATCAAAATAAAATATATCCATTTGCACTTAAATAGCAGAAGTTAAATTTGGATTCTCAACGACTAATAAATGCATAAATTTTTTTGATTTGACTGTGGGTCATGGTATAAATTCTGTTCATATAGTGATATAATAAATTGTAGTTATTTCCTTCTTCAMTTTTAAACTTAAAAATTAAAGATACAATGAAAATAATTAAGATTTAATTATTTTATATGATAAAAAGAATCTGTTTATGTTTATTAACAGTGCAATAATAAAGTATATATTTGCTTAATATAACGTTGTATATATCAAATTAAATATAATTAATAGGGGTGAAGCCTAGCGGCAAAAATGTGAATTAACAGTTTGTTATTTTCTATCTCTTCATTCAATTCTGAGTTTCATGTTTCTTTGTTCCAATCGGAATATATACACCAATGAAGATATGCCTACCACTGCTTGATGTACCATTTAAGATAAGTAAATTACAGTGTACTTTGCCGTCAGATGGCACTCTTAGCAGTACGTCAAATTAGCTACATTTGGTACAGCATTCAGCAGCAGCTTTATCTTGGGTGACGTAGCCTGAGTGTATTCATCTCCATAACAACTACTATTGAAAAAAGGTATCGCCCAATGGTTGAAGTGAAATCAGCGCATGTCAGAAAGAGATAGTTACAGTGCTTCTCTGTATGTATTGGATTGGTATTGTCCTGCTTTTGCCGGCAAATCTTTTATTCACAGGTATAGCGTTTATGTTTATAAGGCTGAATCATATAATGCGGTAGATATAGTTGAGCATCCTAATTCACTTTGGTATATTGCGCTCCACCATCTACAGCAAATATTGAGTTTAATACATATATGTAGGTATATCGTCAGCGTTGTTGGCATTCAACCAAAATAATCCGTGTCTGAGGTTTGAATTCGTCGCTTAAATCTGAAAAAATTGATCAATGATATTTTTTAAAAAATTTTTAATTTTAAGACATCAATAAAGAGTTTCTAAAAGACGCAATATTATATGTATGTATGTACACCACGGCCACGCACAACTTACCATTAAAAATTTTCATGTGTTGCTCATATTTGGCCACACGGTGTAGCGGTATCGAATTTTCTTATTTAGAAATAAGTTCGTGACATGTTATTTATCAAAAAATTTTAAACAATGAACATTCAGTTATAGACTAAAGCATTTGAAAGTTAGTAAGCATTACAAAATGAGCTGAAAATATAAGAGACTGATATGCGAGGAAAACATGATATTTTTTATTTTTGTACTCTAGCAACACGTTGTTCACCTAACGGTTGTACGTATCACCTAAAACTCAACCAGATAGATACAGTGTTATGTATATAGTATATAAGTGATCAGGATGACGGGACGAGTTAATATCCGAGGGACTGTATTACTAAGATATGCAACTCTTAGTTAGCACAGAATATGGCAGTAGCAAGGAGCAGCTGTAGCAAAAAAATATATATATATATGAAAAAGTGGGCGTGGCCCCGCTTTCTATTAAGTTTAATCTACATATAAACCACTAAAGCCATACAATTTTAATTTCCATTTGATTCTTTCACTGTATTTGTATACTGGAATACAAACCAAGAAGTCATAATTTAACAGTTTATAACTTTGCACAAATAATTACTTTAAAGTATTCCACTTTATAACTAAATCATGTGCAAGTCTAACCAAAACTGTTCAAGTCCATAGGTACCGAATATGTGGACCCCTGTATTTATAAACAGTTCTTCCAACTTATGGGTGACTTAATTCCACATATATCGCTCAATATGTGAGTTATCTAAATGATAATAAGAGAGCGTGTCTAAGTCATAACAGTGTACATATCTTTTGCTTATAAGAAATAAAATTGTGCGAAAATTTTTCGAACATCAGACTGGCGATTGGTTTGGTGGTTGCATCTGAGGTACGCCATAAAATCAAGGGAACACCTTTTATGGTATGTGGCTTGTTAATAGTATATGGTGTTTGTATAAATAGATAAAATCGGGTCGATGTTATCCTAGCACTCATTTACTAATATATAACGATTTTCGTTTTTCTAACAGACCTTATGACGAATATGTTAGTCAGTGTACGAGTTTATATACAACAATATATATATTTTATATATAATATTGCTTGGATTCCGATCCTCTGGTTAACGTTTTTCACCTTAAGGTATTTCCCTATCTTTGATTCGTGCAAGTTGCAAGAGTATAAGATGTTTGGTTGCACCCGTACTAAGCTCTTCTTTACTTGTTTTAATTTAATTTAAACGAGTATAATTTATACGACCGATTTCTATAAGTAAAGAAAAGCTTTTTTGTGTTTTACTCAACAAGCATAAAAAATTAAAGACAATAATTATAATTAGATAATAAAATATAGTTTACTTGTGATTACATTAGCTTTAAACAAATTGAAGAAAATATATTGGTAGTTCATCGAAGCCGAACATTTTGTGCTATGAAAAAATGAAAATACAAAAAAAAAAAAAAAATCGTTAAGCGTGTATTTATAATGTTTTTGTATGCAAATGCATGTGTAGCGAACTTTTGCAAATATCGACTATGAAAGCCTAAAGATATATAAATTAAATCATTTTATATGCACTCGGTTTTGTCTTTTATTGACTTACCTAAGACCAATTGTAGCAAACACCAAAGGAGTTTTGATCCTGAAAATAATTATCCGACAATGAGTAATAAAAGTCTTTGTATGTGACTTTCATCTCTGGAGTTTAAGGAAARTCAAATGACAGCTGTGCTGTTTTGATGTTGTTTGGCGGATTCAATTGAAGTTRTTGTGGGGCATACTAGTGCCTCATAAGGGACTAGAACAAAGAAAATAGCTCCACATGGAAAACAGTTGTAAATAAATTTGTATTCCGGATGGAAACACAAGTTGAAGGACAGAAGTTGGAACTCTCCTTGAGCTCTTGAAGACGTATATTTGCTACAGAATACATATGTAGATAGTTTAAACTTAATTATATTTTATATAAAATCATCAATTTAACCACTGCCTATTGCAAAATTGTATAGTTTTCCAGTAGTTCTTTCTTCACACTCATGKTTTTCGTGCTAAAGTTCAATGGTATTAATTAGTATTAATTTTTTCTTACCAATTTATTCGTTTAATATTTTCAAAGAGTCGGAAGAATAGGAGGAGCAATTGACAATACTAGGCAAATTATACTTTCAAGCTGGATCATATTATTTTAGTTTAGTGCAGTTTGATATTGTAATAATTAAGGTTCTACAGATGCCAATATAAATTTTAAACAAATGTAGTAGACATTATTACGCGGCTGCATTGTTTGGCCTGCCTTTAAAAATAAGCAGACATATCGAAATTATCAAAAAACCTCATATAATTTATTTTTAATCACAAAGTTTAGTTAACAAATGGTAAATTATGCTTACGAATATGATATATGCGTGCATACAAATTGATATATACATGTGTATGGTATGAATATTCAAAGCAGATAGTTTGAATGAAAATTCAAAAGTTTTGTGAAAATGTTTACCTGGGCCTCTAGAAGATGGAGATATAGTGAATGGATATAGAAACAGAAACGTATAATGTACATACAAGGCGTATTGCGTCATCAAAACGAATGAAATGCATATATATATGTAAATATGAAACAAATAGGAAGTTATCTCTCCAAGCAAGTATTTTGTATTATGTACTTGTATACAAACAAGAGAGCGGACATTTTTTCACTTATCATCTCCACGCTATCCTTATCCTCTCTCTTCCTCTATTCTAAACCATTAAACCAAAGTATAGTTTAGTCAACTCTCTTAATCCATGAAAAATATATTGAAGTTATTTGATTAAATCCTTGCAGAATGCTTTGACGCTTGTGAATAATCACAAAAGTTTCTCGCTACAGTCATAAGAAGTACCAAAAATTAGAAAAAGTTCTATAATAAACAAAACAAATAATATAGAAAACACGAAACTATGTAAGTTCATATGAAAAAATTTTTCTTGAAAATTKAATATCTGCACTTACTATTAAGGGGAGAGGAAACAAAAATACAGATGAATATATCACTATGTATTGTCATTCTAATAAATTAAACGCAGGCTTGGAATAACAGCAAGAATGTGAAGTTATATACGTATTAATGTACTTATTAAATAAATATGAAGAAAATTAAATAAACAAATCAATGAAAAAGGAAAAAAATTATATGGCTGCATTATTAAAAAGTGTATTTTCTGGAGGACAAGAGAGATTACTGTTTCCTCCTACCGTTCTTACAATAGAATGAAAATAGTTGAAAACGGTTGATAACCCCGCTCATTACATATATTACGGTTTTGTTAAAAACTACTCAAAGTGACGGCGGTGCAATCTGTACATCGCTCGCGCGCCGCGCCGCCACTCAACCAGAGTGGCCAACAGATGACCTTCACGGTCAGGAGCTCACTCAGGCAACATAGCTCCCGCTCTGACAAACTCGTATCCTTCAATTTAACTGCAACGGACTCCAGAGCAAGATCGAGGAGATAGTTGCACTCATGAATCGGGAACGCGTATTGATAGCTGC